CCGCCCCGTCTTCCTCCTCTTCGCCCCGTCCCCCTCCTTCCACCGCCGTTTCGGCCCCAGGAGTTCGGCTGTGACGGCCGCCCCCCCTGCAACGCGGGGGCAGGGAGCGATGGCCGCGGCCACCAGCAGCAGCAGCAGCCCATTGGGCCCCGCAGCAGCGGGGCCTCGGGGCCGACTGACGGCAGTGTTCACAGCGAAATCTGGGAAGGTTTGGCGACCTGTAGGTGGTCAGGCAGAACCCTGGAAGGGTCCTTGGGCCCTTGTGCCAGAGGGCACCCCCGCAGCAGCGGGGGCTGCGCCGCCTGGCGTCTCAAGCTCAGCAGCGGCGGCGCGATCAGAAGTTTCTACGATACGCACCCGCCCAGGCGACTCCGTGGTGGATCCGAGCGATGACGAAGAGCCTCAGGAATTTAGGGGCTGCAGGCCGCCCAACGACGTCGAGCGGCGCGAATGCGTTCTTCGCGACACCGTCCCGCCAAAATTCTTCTGCGAAAGAAGAGCGGCTGACGTGAACAGGCCACGGAACGACAACGTGGGCAACCTTTCCGTCCTGTTCGGGAACTGGGGTTCCATGCCGAGCGAGACCAACCACGCGGACCAGCGGCGGAGACTTGAGTTGCAGCTGCGGCATTGCCCTGCTCTCGTGGCGTGCTTTGCGGAATGTGAGGAGCAGATGGGGTCAATCCTACAGCGGCCAGGGAGACCACCGCCGCTGCAGGCGGACGCCCCCGCAGCAGCGGGGGCGTCAGCAGCGGAGGGCCAAAGCAGCAGCAGCGGTGGGCCTTTTGTCGCCCCCGCAGCAGCGATGGCGACAGCAAGAGGAAGTCGTGCTGCGAGTGTTGGCGATTGCCAACAGCTCCAGAATCGACCAGAGTACGAATACTTGACCCTGCGCGGGCGTGAGGACAAGTCCTTGTGCATCGCTGCGCGCGCAAATCTGTGTTACGAAATGCGGCTGCTCCACTGGGAAAGGAGTGTCGACGGCCACTACAGAACAGCAAGAGGGCGCAAGATGGAAGCGTTCTCGAGGATCATGGTGGTTGAGCTCTACTTCGATCAAACCTACGCCCACTTCGGCTCGAAAGTGCGGGTGCGCGCGGTGCACCTCCACCGCGACACGGCGAAAAATTCCAGAGGCTTCAACGAGGCTCACAAGACGTGGTGGCCGAGGTTGGCGACCGCTTGCAGGACAACAGCGTTGACATCCTTTGTGGGGATTTCAACATGGCGCTCACACAGACGCTGCCGAGTCTTCGGGGTCTAGGCATGCGATTGGAGACGGCAGCAGCGTACTTCTGGCGCGGATTGGACGGCACTCCGTGCTTGGACAGCTGCGGCATCTTCGTTCTCAACAGGCCTGGCGAGTACACCCTGTGCTGGCCGCTGAGCGCCGTGCACGACAGAGACGAGACGGGGTTGCTCTTCGCACGCAAGTCGGTGATCGGTGAGATCGGGTACCGTAACAGAAGCAAGGCAGAGGCCCCCGCAGCAGCGGGGGCCTCCACCAGCCCATCATCGCAGCCGACGCACTGGCACCACAGCCAGAACGGAGGCCCTGGGATGCCTTACTCTTGCTACTACCCGAAAAAGACGCCCGCGAGCACCTCCAGGATTTACTGACTCAGTCAGAGGAATGCCAACGCAAGATCCAAGAGAAGGAGCGTGAGAAACTGAGGCGCGCCGAGGCTGAGGCTAGAGGGGACCACCGCTTCTCTAGCAATCGCGAGGTGACCCTCTTCCGCGCGTTGCAGAAGACGTTCCCGCCAGAGACCGTGGAGGTGGAGGGGCGCTGGCACGGCGGCGCCCACTACCCTCTCCTGTTCCAAATGCGCATGGCCAGCGTGCGTTCGCAGGGGAGGAAGCAGGAGAGAGCCAAAGAGAAGAAGGACAGGCGCGCCCAGAAACAGCTGGCAGCTGCGCTCAGGGCGCCGCTGCCGCCCGAGCATCACGGACCCGAGCGCCAGGCACCAGGGCAGCACAGCGAGAGGGACGAGCAAGACGAGCGCGCCCGACAGGCGTGGCGCCCACCAAGATGGGCAGACGAAAGCGCGGACGACGGCCGCGACATGCCCGCGGCTGGCGATGGAAGGTCGCGGCGGGGGGTTGAAAGGGGGGGGGGGGGAGAGGGGCGGTGGAGCACGGGGAGGGCAGGAGGGAGGAGAGGGAATGAGGAATAGGCTGAGCGGGACGAGGGATGACATAAGGAAATGAGTGTCGGGAAGGGGCGGGAGTTGACAGGGGGGGGATATAGAAATAATTATTTATCACCCCCGAGGTGGCAGCCGACCCCGCAGTGCCCATCTCCAGGGCCTGCGCCGCTGGAGCAGCGAGGGCAGCGCGGCGCCGCCATCTACATCTCGGACGCGATCACTGCCCTCGGCCACGAGCCGCCAGAGCCCCCGCAGCAGCGGAGGCCACAAACGCCACGGCAGCAACCAACAGACGAGGAGTGGCGCAGGGATGAGTGGTGGCGCACCAAGGAGGGCGAGGAGCGCGAGTGGCAACAGCCGAGCGGCGAGGCTTCCTCGCTGCAGGACCGCATGGTCGACTCCGCCTGGCGCGACATGCAAGTTGCATTCGGCAGCGACCAACGCCCCAGTGACTGGTGGAGCAGCCACAGTGGGTGGAGTAGCGGCCAGGGGCACTGGGAGGTCGCGACCACGACTTGGAGGTGGGTCGAACCCCCCCCCGAAACCAATCCCTGGGAAAAACTTAGCTGAACCATCGCACAGGAGCCGCCCCTCCGCAGCAGCGGAGGGAGGCCTCATCGGCCGAACGTCGACCCTCCGCAGCAGCGGAGGCCTTGCCAATGCATCGTGAGCGGCGGCGACTCGCGCGCGCCGTCGTGCTCGGCGACCGCTGCCCGAGCGGAGAAGGAAAAAGAAACGGTGCTTTCATCGGTGCTGTCGTTGCCTCCTCTCCTTCATCGTTTTCTTCTCCCTCCCCCTCCAATCCCCCATCCCGCTATCACATTTTATCGTCTCCAATCGTATCGGGAGCTCCCGTGGCAGAAGAGCACCCAGAACGAGGTCCTCCGTGACAGAGAGGGGGGCATCTCAGACCCCCTCTGTGACAGAGGGGGGGCATATTTGACCCCCTCTGTGACAGAGGGGGGGCCAAAAAACAAATGATCACTTTAATGCGGCTTCTGGATTACTGGCTTTGATCATGGCGACCCTAGTCATGTTCTGACGTATTCACCTGCGTCAGGGGAGGGGGAGGGGGAGGAGCAGGAGGAGGAGGAGGAGGTCGAGGAGGAGGAGGAGGACGAGGAGGAGGAGGAGGAGGAGGAGGAGGAGGGAGACGTCGGCTACGCGAGAGGAGGAGGAGGTACATGAAAGAGGAGGAAGACGAGAACAGCGCGGGCGATGACGACTATGACGATCATGGCAGTGCCGATGAGGACGGGATGATCAAAAGGTGGAGGACGACCAGGACGATGGTCGTGGAGGAGGATGGCCGCCATGAAGGCAAGAGCTCCTGCGGGAAATTCGTAGGTCCTAGAGTCCGGGACTTTTCCCAGGGCCAGCTCTTCATCGCGAGCAGCTGCTTGACTGTCCTAGTTGTCGGGGGCTTGTTTGTACCGAGCAGGTTCTGTGGCATCGCGCTCGGCAGAACAAGGCAAACAATTGACTGTACTGCAGCCCGGGAAGGGCCCCAGGGACTCGATCGCGGCGAACGCTTCCCAGGACCCCTTCCATCTGGAACGCGCTTCCGCTTATGCTGCAAGCACCGACGAGGAGGCACACAGCTTTCGAAGGTCCGCGCGGATTTCTTGGCATCGGTGGACCCCCTCCGGGCGCTTCTGATGCCGCTTTCTTTCGAAATAGAAAAGTCACCATAGACATTGAAGTTTTGGCGCTCCGCGCGGATTCCTGGGTCCGCGCCGGGCCCCCCCGGCAGCGCCTCCAGCGCCGCCCCTGGCGCGCTCCGCGCGCCAGGGAGGGGGGGGGACCTCGCGCGGATACAGGGAATCCGCGCGGAGGTCCAAGAGTTTATGTCTATGGCGTTTTTTCTTCTTCTATTCTCCGGAGGGGCCAAACGGTGTGGTTACCACACTGCGGTGGTGAGTCCGTGGGGGTGCGGGCTCGGCGCGCGGTCTGGGGACTCGTGTGTCGTTCTTCGGGGCCGTCTCCGGCGACTGGGGCCTCCGAGATCCCGGGGCTGCTCGGTGGCGGACCGCGCGGTGAGGTCGCTGGGGGTTCCCAGGTCACCGCTGGGTTTGCGATGTTCCAACCAACTTTGGCCTCGAACGCCAGAAAGAACGTCGAGCGCCAGAACAAAAAAAACCTGAACTCGAGGGTTGTCACGTGTCGGGCCCTGGGAGACACTCGTTTCGACACTGTTTCGACACTCTTTCATGGGTGCTCGAAATTATTGTTGAGATGTGGTCCTTACGTGCGATGGGAGCAACATAACACTCGGTCCGTCAAACCTCGGTTTTGGGGCCCCCAATTTCTGTGTCTCTTCCTGAGATTCGAGGGTGGACCTCCACCCTGACACGTCGATTAGTGAACTGTTCGATTGCGGTTCTCGAGAGGGCGCCGCGGCCGTTCTTTTTCCCGGCTTGCGCCCGCGAGGTTTGGGTCGTTTTCACGAAGCCACGCTTTGCTTCGCTAAAGGAGGCCCTGTCCATCCCCGACAATGTTGGGGCCGCAGGGTGCGGGAGGACCTTTGATTGAGCTAAGTCGGGCCTGTTCCTCGACAGGAGGGATTTTCAAACAGAGTGAAACATAGTGTGGTGACGTTTTGTTTGTATACCTATGTTTATATATATATATATATATATATATATATATATATATATATATATATATATATAAAAATACATACGTGTATACATATATATATATACACACAGATATACATAGATATGTACATATACACATATGTATACATATGTTTTGTTTGGTGTGTTGAGGTTACCGCTCGACTTTTTATACGATTTTGCGATTGTTCGTCCAACATTCGAATGGAGGCATGGGGCAGCGACCGCCCAGGGCGGCCACTACGCCCACGGCGCCCTCGCCCCCGCGGGCCCCGGGCTCGTCCGCACGGACGGCCACTTCGTCTGCGACTGGGACCCGCGCTGCGCCCAGGCGGGCCTGCCGCGGCGGGGGGCCTCTGCCGGGAGCGGCAATAACATGGGGTTGATGACCTAGGGGGGGGGCGGATGTCATGGCGGGGGCCATGAGATTTCCGTAGATGTCATGGCGCCTCTTCTTATTTCATTACGTCCCTGGCCACCCCGTTGGGCCGCGCACATGCCGCCGGTCATGATTTGCCCCCCCCCCCCCCCTCTTGGACGCCCCCCCTCTTGGCCGCGCCCCCGAGCTCTGCTCGGGCTGACCAAGGGCGCCCTCGAGGGCGCAAAGTTATCCGCGCTTCTCGCTTCGCGGTTCGGCTCCGATTCCTCCTCATCCTCCGCTTCTCCCCTGGGAGGCGGCGCGAGAGCGCAAAGTTATTCGCACTTCGCGCTTCGCGCAGCGCGAAGCGCGAAGTTGGGGGCCCTTGGGCTGACCGAGGGTTTCTGTATCGTTCAACCGATCCCCATCCTCATCTCAATCCCCTTCGAGACCCCCGCCAAATTACCGCCCCAGTTGGGGATGCGACCCTCGAAGCCCGAAGGGAACGGCCTATATCCCCATCTAGGGGGGTAAATCGGCCAGTGGGGCCCAGGCCACGCCGCTGGGGACGGGAATCGGTTAAGCGATACGCAGGGTTAGGGTTAAGTCGGGCACGTCCCTGTACAGGAGGAATATTCACACATAGTCCAACAATAGTCGGGGGGACGATTTTTCTATTACTCCTCGACCATTTGGGGGTATGTTTGTACTATGTTTACTTGGTTCACCCAAAATCCGCCTGTCGGGCGACATGCCCGAGCTAAGGTTAGGGGAACAAACACTGACATAAGCATTAAAAGCTCGGAGGTCCGCGCGGACCTCCCGGGTCCGCGCTGGGCCCCCTGGCGGCGCCTCCGCCGTCGCCCCCGCTTCGCGCGCCAGGGAGGGTGGTCCAGCGCGGATCCAAGACTTCCGCGTGGGCCTCCGAGTTTTTCATGTCGCTGTCTTTCTGCGTTCCCCTAGGCTGCGGCTGAAGGCTCGAGATTCGAGGTTCTCGGGCGTCTTCGCCGGGCCCTGGAGGTCTGGCAGCCTCGGGGTGCCCTCCAGAAGTCAGAAGGGGAAAAGATGGGGAAATGTGGCAAGTGGGGGGGAAGACGAACACCCAGAAAACATGGGAAAGCATGGGGAATCCTGTGAACGATATGCTAGGGCCACTTCCGGAAGGTTCAGCATCGGCCGAACCCTGACCCGTGCTCCCGATGAGCCCGCCGTCGCCTCCTCCTCCTCCTCCTCCTTCTCCTCCCTCCTCCCTCCTCCCTCCTCCCTCCTCCCTCCTCCCTCCTCCCTCCTCCTCCTCTCCCTCCTCCTCCTCCTCCTCCTCCTCCTCCTCCTCCTCCTTGTCTGTGTCCCTCGCCGAGAGGCGGCCAGGGACACCCCGATCTGGAGAGCGGCCGCCGGAAACCCGCGTGACGACGTGAGAGCCAGGCGATGGCGGCAGCCTGCGCTCGGGTTCCTTAGTTTCGGGAGGGAAAACACACACAGACGCAATTCATCGTCGACTCCCAGAAAATATGGGATCATACTGGAAGTGGGGGGGAAGACAAAAGTCCCAACAATATGGAAAGATATAGGGAATCCTTTTGTTTGTATTTGTGTGTCCCTGGGCGCCTTGATTAGTCTTGGGTCCGAGAAGGAGCCCCGGGCGGCAGAGCAGACACTCGCTCGCGTGTTCGAAGTGTTGAGGGCGTCGGGGGCCACGATGGGGGTCCCTCCGAGAAGGTCCTCGGCTTGGAGGATCTCCCCTCCTCGGCCTCTCCCTCTCTTGGCCTCGGGGGGCCCCGATCACAGTCCAGGAGCGTCCAACGACTCGGGCGAAGAGCCGGGCCCCAGGAAGGGGCAGTGGCAGACCTCCGGGGTGCCACGGTGTGGCAAAATCGTCGGCGTCGTCGGAAATTCCAGATGCTGAACGAGGCGTTCCGAAAAGGTCTCTGCCTTCGAGGGTCAAAGGAGGTGTCGTCTCTTGCGCCGCGGAAGGGCGGCGAAAGGGCGGCGGAAGGTCGGCAGAAGTAACGCGAGGCCGCCTCCGCCGGCGGAAGCCGGCAGAAGTAAAAAATGCGCCCCCAAGAGAATGACATGTTTTTGTTTTGGGTTCAGGGTTTCCGGAATCGGCAAGGGATAGGGGGGGGGGGACGCATCGACCCCCAATCGCCCCTCGGTCGCCGATAGGCGCCCGATAGCCCCAACCTGCCTAAGAGCGTGCGGGTTCATTACCCTGGGGCCTGTCGCCGCTCTATCGGCGATGTATCTCCGATTCTAGGTCGAGGTTCCCCCCCCTCTATGTTCGGGGATGCCCTGGTCCGAAGCCTGGCTCAATCCCGCTGACTTCCGCTTTATCCCGCTCAGTCTCGCTTGATCCGAGGCCCACTCCGGCGCAACAGCCCCCGAATGGGGCTCAATCCGCTTCGTGAGATTTTCCGGGCGAAGACCTCCCCGTAGTTGCCTCCTAACCTGTGCCAGTCCCCCCTTTACCGTTGCCCCTCGCTGCTGCAGTGGTCCTCTCCGCCCTGTGCGCCTCGCCGCCCGGTGCCCCACAGAGGGCACGACGCGGCGCACGGGGCGAGAGGCGCGAGCGCACAGGCAGTCCTCCCTGTCCTCCTCTCCCTCTTTGCGTCTCCGGCTCCCTGTCCGCCTTCTCACTCTCCGTCTCCTGCTCCCTCTCCCGTGGCCTCATCCCCCCTCCGGTGTTCCTCCTCTCCCCGGGTGTTCCTCCTCCTCCTGCTGTTCCGGTGGGTCTCTTGCGGTTCCTCGTCCTTCTTCGCCCCGGTCTCTCCTCTCCTTCTCCTGCTTCTCCTCCTCCCTCCTCCTCGTTAGCCTCGCCCTCCTCACCTTCCGACGGCCTCGCCGCGGGGCGGGCCAGGTCGACATGGGCAGCGGGCGGGCGTTGTGGGAGGAGGAGGAAGAGGCGATAGGAGAATGGAGCGTTGGGGGAGTCAGGAGGAGGAGGAGGAGGAGGAGGAGGAGGAAGAGGAGGAGGAGGAGGAGGAGGAGGACGAGGAGATGCAGGAGGAGGAGGAGGAGGTGGAGGAGGAGGAGGAGGGGGATGAGGAGGAGGAGGAGGAGGAGGAGGAGGAGGAGGAGATCAGTGTCCGAAACCGAGTTCCTCGGCCACAGGGGCCATTCGTTTCTCGTTTGGTCTGACCCCAGGCGTGCCCTGCATTCTCAGTGTTGCATTTGATGGCAGGCGCCGCGACATTTTCTCCATATGCCAGATACACCTTGTACAGAACACCCAAGAAAAAAAAACAATCAGTGAACGGTTTGAAATGGGATCGATAAAGCGATCGATAAGGAGATCCGCTGGGAACCCGGGAATCCACCGAAATTGGCCCAGAACCAATGACCAGGAACCCCAGAACCGGGAACCAGGAACCCGGGAACCCCGCCAGCCACCAAAGTCGGCGGGAAACATTCGCCAAATCTTCCAATTTCCGCTAGGACCCCGAGACCTGGTATAGGGGCCCCCGGAGGCCGGGCATAGCGAACAAAACCTCCGGCCGCGATTTTGTTCGCAGCGCGAGGAGGTCTGGGATCGGGCTCCGCGCGCCCCCGACGGGACGTGCCCCCCCTCCCCCGGCCAGAGGTGGACCCGAGCGGCCTCTGGCACCCCTACGGCGGGCTGGACTGCGCCCGGGCGCGCGCCTTCGCCCACATCGCCCCGCGCGGGGCCGGCCCCGCGGCCCACGAGCAGCGCAAGGTAGGGCTCCCGGGGCCACGTCCGGGGAGCCCTCGCGTCGCTAAAGAGTTACGGCGGAGGTTTTGCTTTGCGCAATGTTCGGCCCGTGGGGGCCCTTGCCGGGCCTCGGGACCGTCAGAAAACGAGTCGGGATGAAGAACCGGTCCTGGGGAATCGGTCGAGGCTTCCAGGGGCGCAGCATTGAAAAAGTCACGACGTCGGATCTCTGTGGAGTTGTCGGAGAGGGTTTGTCACGACGACGACGACGGCGACGACGACGACGGCGACGACGACGGCGACGGCGACGAGGACGGCGACGACGACGGCGAGGGCGGCGACGACGAGTGGCCACGTCCCAGGAGTCCTCGGGGAGGGTTCTTCTGTCGGAGGAGGACAAGGTGCCCATACCTCTGCCCTTCGCTCGTTTTCCCCTCTTTGGGCCTTCTGGAGGGCCCTCGTCATCACCGCTGGATGTCTTTGCTGGCTGCTTCCCAGACTCCTTCGCGCAACGAGAGAGTCACGACGGGAGGTTCTTCGCTAAATTCGGCCTCCGGGAGCCCTCGCCGGGCCTCGGGGCCGTCACACATCGACCCAGGATGAAAAGCCGGCCCAGGGGAATGGATCGAGACCTCTTCTAGGGGGTCGACGTCATGAAAACATCATCATAACGTCGGGGATCTGAGGGTTTCTCAGAGGAGAAAAAGGTACCCATACCTCTACCCTTCGCTCGTGTTCTGCTTTTTGGGCCTCCTGGGAGGCCCTCCTCACCACCGATGGCTTCGCCTCGAAATCCTGGTCAGAATGCATCCGGGGAGAGGTCCTGGGAGGAGTAGCGGTGTCGGTGCCTTTTGCTCTCCACGGTTTGGATGCGTTCGTTGGCCTTTTGTTGGGTCCTTGGGAGCCCCCTGCGTGGTACCCTCCTGTCGTGGCATGGCCCCGCTCGGCATTGCCGGGGCAGCTGGGGGGAGGCTGTGGCCATCCCCCCCCACACCTGTCGGGTTGACCCAAAAGGGGGTCCAGCGACAAGGGGGTGGTGCAATAGATTCGGTGCAACAGATTTGTGGGGTTGCGATACATTGGGGGCGTGCAATCCATTCCGGGGCGCAAATGCATTGCTGGACTTTCGCGTGTACTACATTCGTTGCAATACAATGCAACATAATTATCTTGCGCAATACATTTGCAGTTCAATTGCTCCAAACCTATTGCACCACCCCATTGCAGCTGGACCCCCTTTTGGGTCACCCAAAACCTGGGGAGGCCCTGGCCTGGGAGACTGGCAGAGGTCGGCGGCGAGCAGGAGGGGGAGGAGGAGGAGGAGGGGGAGGAGGGAGGAGGAGGAGGAGAAGGGGAGGAGGAGGATGAGGGTCAGGATGAGGAGGGCGAGGAGGAGGAGAACAAGCTAGGTGCGCTCGCGTCATATCTGACATCCTACCCTCCCTCCCATCCCGTACCATGGCGCAGATCCCCTCTCTACTCGCACAGTCGGATGTCGAGCAGGGCAATGATCCCAAAAGGGTACGCGATGCATTGTAGAGCACGGCGTGGCATGGCGTAGAAGAGCACCGCGAAGCGTAGCATCAACCTAGCATTGCGTTGCACGCCGTGGCATGGCACGTGAAATGACGCCAGCGCTGCAGCGGGAGCACGAGTCGAAACGAGTGGAAGCGCGGAAATGCGGCCAGCGCTGCAGCGGGAGCTCGATTCGGAACGAGCGGAAGCACGGAAATGAGGCCAGCGCTGCAGCGGGAGCACGATTCGGAACGAGCGGGGCCTGAAAATGAGGCTGGCGCCTCAGCGAGAGCAGCATTTTGAAACCAAATGCAGGCGAACGCCCAACTCCGGGGAAACCTGTGTGTAGAAAAACAGTACGCGGGGGGGGGGGGGTCGGACACTCCCAGGCCGTCATCAGGGGAAGAGGGAGAATAGTATTCATATTGAGTAATTGTGGAGGAGGAGAAGGAGGGGAAGGAGGAGAAGGCCGAGGAGGAGGAGGAGGAGGAAGGCCTTCCCAGCCGGCGGCAGGACCTCTCAGAGGCCCTCGCGCCTTCTGAGAAGTTTTCTGCGTCTTCGGTGAGGGCTTCGAAGCCTTCTCACTCCTCCTCCTCCTCCTCCTCCTCCAGAAAGCCGGGGGACTTTCCCCTTCTCCTTCTCACCCTTCCCCCCCCTCGGCAACCTCGGTCCCGATCTCGCCCCAGAGTCCTTTTCCGCGTGCTCGGTTCCCAGACCCCCGACGTCGTGATCTTTTCGCACCGTCGACCCCAGAAGGTCTGGGCCCCTTCCCCGGGACCGGCTTTTCGTCCTGGGTCGCTTTTCTACGGTCCCGAGCCCCAGTGGTGACTCCCGGAGGCAGAAGATAGCGAACAGCTTGCCGTTGTGTCGTTTAGCGCTGTGAGGAGTTCTGGGTTGGCACCCCCCAGCCCGTCAGACGGTCCCGGCAGCCCCGACACCCGCGGCGGGAGGTGCCGCCGTCTTCGGTACCCTTCTCTGGCTGTGCCGGGCGTGGTCGGGCTGCTAGTCGCCGCCGCTGTCGGCGTCGTCGTCGTCGTCGTCGGCGGCGGCGGCGGCGGAGGCGTCGGTGTCGTGCATAGGTCGTCCGCCGTGTCTTCGGTCGTGCGTCGTCGATCGTCGGCCGTCGGTCGTCGGTCGTCGTCGGCGTCGCGCTCGTTCTGCGCGGGGGATTTTGAGATCTGTGTGCGGTGGGATTCGGGCTCAGACGCCCAGCGCTCTTGAACAATAGTCAGGGGGTGTTCTTTTTTCTGAGAACGGCCTCCTGCCATCTTGGAGCAGATCGATCAAAGGAGAGCCGTACGCCCTCAATCACTCACGGCCTAAAGGGCTGGATGGGATTTACAGTAGTGTTGGGCGCTCCACCATCGGGCATTCCTTTAAATCCACTCCGCCTGGGGCAAGCCGTGACCAAGGTTTCGAAGCGGATGCAGATGTTTCATTGATGCCCCTCCCCCTCCTCGAACGCCCAGAGAAGAGGACCTCTGCGGGGGCTCCTGGCGGGCCTGGGGGTGCGGGGTAGAATCATAACGTGGGCGTGAGGAGAGGCGTAAGACAAAGAGGATGCGCAGAGGCCCTCTGCTCATCCTCCTTGATTTCTGCCTCTTCTCGTGCTCTCCTTCCTCTTCTCCTTCCCCTCCTCCCTATCTTCTATCCACCTTGTCCTCCTCCACCTCCTCCTCCCACTCGAGAGGGAGGAGGAAAACCTCGAAGGGAGGAGGAGGGGGAGGAGGATGAGGAGGATGAGGAGGAGGAGGAGGAGGAGGAGCAGCAGGAGGAGATGGAGAAGGAGGAAGCGGACGAGGCGCAGGAGGAGAGGGGGGGGGGAGGGGGAGAGGAGGAGGAGACGCAGGAGGAGGAGGAGGAGGAGGAGGAATTGGAGGAGGATGAGGAGGAGGATGAGGAGGAGGAGGACGAGGAGGAGGAGTCGGCGGCAGCAGAGCAGGAGGAGACCGCAGTGGACACGGTCATGACCAAGAGCGCCCTCACCGCAGCGCTCGCGGAGAGCGGCGAGGTGAAGAGGGGTTCAATCAATACGGCCTTGGGCACTTGCGGGCACTGCAGCGCAAATGGCGAAGGGAACCGGCAGTCTCATCATTCCTGGTGTTGCTATGATCAAGACCCGCCAGAAGAAGGCAACGAACTCCGGGAAGCGCGACATGTGCGGCCAAGTCGTGACGGTGAAGGCGAAGATGGCCACGATCATCGCGCAAGCCTTCCCCGCAAAGGCCCTCCAGGACGAGTTCTGAGAGCCCTCTGGTCGGCGGCGTGTTCTTCCGCTGACCCGTCCGTGTCTGGGAGCTGCACCGGCGAAGATCGCCCAATGGAGGCGGAGGAGGAGGAGGGGGAGTGGGGAGAAGGAGGAGGAGGAGGAGGAGGAGGAGGAGGAGGAGGAGGAGGAGGAGGAGGAGGAGGAGGAGGGGGAGGGGGAGGAGGAGGAGGAGGAGGCAGAGCAGGAGGAGGAGGAGCAGCAGCTGATGGACGTCAAGCCAAGGCGATCGCGGCCACAGTCCGATGCCAGCTGCCGAGGCCGGCGGCACGAACTCGTGGTGCGCAGCCACGTGCCAGGAGCAGCAGCAGCATCAGGAGGAAAAGAAACACACAGACACAATTAATCCTCGATTCCCCAGAATATGGGAAAATATGGAAAGTGGGGGGGGGAAGACAGGAACACAGGAAATATGGGAAAATATAGGGAATCTGTTTAATTGTGTGTATTTATTTGTGTGTTTGTGGGCCCCTTCAGACTTGCGCTCGAAGTCCGGCGCGCGGCGCTGGCCGCAGCTGCCGCGTCTGGCGCGGCAGCTGGCAGGCCTCGCGCGGCGCCGCGCGGAGCGCACGGCCGCCGCGTCGCGGCTCCGCGGCCGCGGATTGCCGCTCTCTCGAGAAGCAGTTGCGGTGCTCGCCTCACTCGCTGCTGCTTCAGCGTTCGAATCGCGTTAAGTCGGGCATGTTTTTTTCTACATGGGGGATATTTCAGAATTTCAGAATCGTGAAGATAACAGTCAGGGGAGTATGTTTGGGGTATTGTGGAACATGTTTGTTTCAAGCATGATTTGTCAATTGTGTCTTGTTCGTCCAAAATCTGCTTGTAGGGGGACGCGCCCGACCTAGCAATAGCGGCTCGCCGGTGTGCGCGTCCGAGCACAATCACAATTCGATGCACCAACATTTGCCCGCAGATGTGTACCCACAACAGCGAGGATGGGTAGCAACTGCAATGATGCTGAAGGGAAGGTTGCGGGATGGTGTTCATAATGATGATTGTAATGTTCATGATGCGGATGCTGAAAATGCTGTTGATGGGGAGGAAGATCAGGATTACGATTCTAGTGAAATATGATGATGGCGATGAGGACGATGGTGATGATGCTGATGATGATGACGATGTTGATGCTGGTGGGGTGTTGGTGCTGGGGATGGCATTCATACGAATGATAAGCATGATGATGCAGATGATGATTTTGCTGTTGCTGATGGTGATGCCGAGTATGTTTGTGAGATTCATCCTCATCATAATGATCAGGCTGATGCTGTTGATGATGTTGATTCAGAAGCTGATGATGGTGATGCGACGCTGGTAATCGGGGGTGGTGATCATGGTACTGGCGATGGTGATGTTGATGGTGAGCGTGATGACGACGATGCTGCTGATGAGGAGGGGAAGGAGGAGGAGGAGAAGGAGGAGGACGGAGGAAGAGGAGGAGGAGACCAGGGGAAAGGGCAGGAGGAGCAGGAGGAAGGGGAGGTGGAGGATGGGTGGTCGAGAAAGCTGACGATGAGGATGCGGAGGAAGAGGAGGAGGAGGAGGCGGAGGAGGAGGAGGCGAAGGAGGAGTTGGAGGGGGAGGATTGAAAGTTAGAGGAGGGGGAGGAGGAGGAAGAGGACTTGGAGGAGGCGGGGGAGAAGGAGGAGGAGGACCACAGTATACCTAAGTGTCATCAATGATGTTGGTATGACCCCTCTCTCCAAACTTCCTCTTCACAAGCCCCTACAGCGGTTCTTTTTAATTGAGGTAACTGCGCCGTTGGAAGACAACCGTTTGAAGACGTTGAAGCATGTCCGAAAAATGCTTTCGGGATTTCCACGCCACGGATCAACTTGACTGCTGCGTCTTGGCGTTTTGGATTCGTGCTAGACCGCCATTTCTGGGGGACTTCAACACCGCGATTCCACATGACTGCTGCACCCTCGTGATCTTGCATCTCTCCAAAACACCATTTCCGGTACGTTGACCATGGGAAACAGTAGAACTCTTGCAAACGTTTACAACCAATGCGCGTGGTGCTTAGGCGAGAGCCAAGCCACATGTTGAAAACGATCCGCCTTAAATCCGTGAATCTCTTGCAGCTGGTTCAGAACGATCTAGCGCGTCGCTAAGGCGAGAGCCACATTTTTAAAACGACCCGCCCTCAATCCATGGAACCTTTGCGTTTTTTTAACGAATGCGCGCGGCGCTAAGGCGAGAACCACATTTTGAAAACGACCCGCCCTCAATCCGCGAGGCTCTTGCAAGTTGTTGAAACGATTGCACGCGGCGCTAAAGGGCGAGATGCACATTTTGAGAACCACCCGCCCTCCATGTGTGAAGTGTCAGTTCGTAAGCCTCAGAGTCATATATGGTGAGGAAGTCTAAGGCGAAACGCCCGGCCCACTCTTAAAACTCGCCTCAGGGTGCGACAAGGAACAGTTATTTATGAGGAAAAGGAATGGTGGAGGCAAAAGAGGAGTAGGAGGAGGAGGAGGAGGAGGACCATTGCACATTCAGGAGTCATCAACGATGCTGGAGGTAATCCTCCCTCCAAGATCCCTCTTCACAGGCCCCTGCAACGGCGTCGTTGGAAGACAACCGTTTGACGACCTTGAAGCATGCCAAAACATTGTTCTCGGGATTTCCACGCCACGGATCAACTTGACTGCTGCGTCCTGGCGTTTTGGATTCGTGCTAGACCGCCATTTCTGGGGGACTTCAACACCGCGAATCAACATAATTGCTGCGCCCGCATATTCGGTGCCCCGTCACAACATTATTTCTGGTACGTTGACCCTGGAAGTCCGTTAAACTTCTGCACATGTTGAAAACGAATGTGCGCGGCGCTTAGGCGAGAGCCACGTTTCGAAGACGGCCCGCCCTCAACCAGTGAAACTATTGCAGATGTTTAGAACGAATGTGCGCGGCGCTAGGGCGAGCGAGACTCACATTTTGAGAACCACCCGCCCTCAATTCGTGATACGTTTGCAGATTTTTGCAACGAATGTGCGTTGCGCTAAAGGGGAGAGACACATTTTGGAAACCACCGACCCTCAATCCGTGAAGCTCCTATACTTTTTTTGAAACGAGCGCGGCGCTAAGGCGAGGAACCACATTTTGAAATCGAACTGCCCTCAATCCACGACAACTCTTGCAAATGTGGGCAGCGCAAATGCACGAGTCACCTTTTGAAATTTCCGATTCAGAAATGGTGAGGAAGTCTCAGGCGAAACGCCCAGCCCGCCCTAAAAACTCGCCCCGGGGTGCGACAAATGGAGGGGGAGGGGAGGAGGAGGAGGAGGAGGAGGAGGAGGAGGAGGAGGAGGAGTAGAAGGAGGGAGGAGGAAGGAGGAGCGAGGAGGAAAAGGAGGAGGAGGAGGACGAGGAGGAACAAGGAGGAGGAGGAGGAACAGGAGGAGGAGGAGGAGGGAGGAGGACGAGGAGGAGGAGGAGGAGGAGTAGGAGGAGGAGGAGGAGGAGGTAGGGGCGCTTGTAGCGACGGAGCAGCGCAGAGGCCGCCGCAGCACTCGGAGGCCTCGCGGCCTCCGCGCCGCCCGCGGCCCCGCGGCCCGCGGCCGCGGCCCGCCGAGGTGCTCGGCACGAACCCGGCCTTCGAAAGCGCGGCCGTGCACCCAGCGATGGGGCGCCGCCCGCGCACGCGCGCGCGCGCGCCGCGCGCGTCTCTCGCGTGCGCGCCTTGGGGGGCCCTGCACTCCAAGACTGGCGGGCCCCGAGGTCCTGGAGAGGGGACGTTCGCGCCAAGAGTTGTCCTCCGGCCACTCCTCCGCCCTCTCCTCCCCTTTCTCCCCCTCTGCCCCGTAGTCCCAAGGAGCAAGAATCGGCATACTCTTTTCTTGTACGGCCACCATTCGGGTGATGGGAAGGTTCGGGGAGGGGAGAAGCCAACGTCTCACTCTATCGATCACTCTATCGATCTCAGATTCCACGATCGTTCTCACTATCGTTATCATGATCGTTCCCACGATCGATCTCACACCATCGATATTGCTATCGATCTGACGATCGATCCCACTGTCGATATAACATGCGTTCTCACTACCGATATCACTATCGATTTCACGGTCGATCTAACTATCGATCTCGTGATCGATCTTATTATCGAATTCCCCCATCTTTTTTTACCGATCTCCCTGGCGATCTCGCTATCGTTCTCACGACCGCTTGCACATCGAGAGGGAGGAGGCGGCGGCCAGGCGGGGAGGGGCAGGGAGGAGAATGCATAGCTAGCTGGGGGGCATGGGAGAAGAGTGCGAAGGGTAGTTAAGAGGAGAAAGAGGAGGAGGAGAAGGAGGAGGAGGAGGAGGCGGAGGAGGAGGAGGGAGAGCAGGAGGCGGAGGAGGAGGAGGAGGAGGAGGAGGAGGAGGAGGAGGAGAAGGAGAGAGGGGGGGGGACAGCCGCAAGCAAGCGGGCTGGACCAGGGGCTGGGAACAAATACGTCAATACGAGGTTCTGCTGTGGCTTGCTCGTTTTCTCTGTGCTGCTGGAACACTCGTGGCCGGGATCTCGTGCTGATGCCACGCAACTGTTGAACCTCCGGAGAACACCGGCGTGTTTGATTACCAGGTCCCCGGCCCCCTCAGCCATGAGTCCGTCAAGGTTCTACCTGCTGCTTCTCAGGCCCGATGGGGCAGCTCGTGCCCCCGAAGTCGCTCGCCCATCGTGCCCCCCCCTATCGGGGCCCCCCATCGCAGCCCCCCTCCTGGCCCCCCCTGCCCGTGCAGATTCGCTGCGCAGATTGCTGCGGGGGGCCTTCTGCCGCAAGTGTGCCATCCGTCAAGACACACACCGTGGTAGGCTGAAACCGTGGCAGGGGGGATATTCAAGAATTGGAAAAAAAAACATCATTGGGACGATGTTTCGATCAGCTGTTGACTATGTTGGGCTATGTCTGAAAGGTTCTCCACGTTTCCTCCAACATCCGCCTGTAGGGTGACCTGCCCAACCTACTTGTAGGCAAGGCCCGCCCCTGCCGAAGGAGGCTGCCGCAGGGCCCCTCGTCGGCAGTCTCGTGGCCAGGTTGCTTCGTCCCCGTCGCCTGCGCCGCGCCGAGGGCCCCCCCCCAGGTAAAAAAGCTCGTGGTGTCGCCCCGATCGGCCGCCGCGGGGGCCGAGGCACTGGCCCGACCGGGCAGTCTGGCGGGAGAGGCCCGACGGGAGTCTGACTGCCGCTGGCGCTTCCTCCCCTCCCTCCTTCCGTCTCGCCGTGCCTCGCGGCAGTGGCCGTGCGTCGATCTGTGGCGCCGGGTCGGAGGAGCGTCGGAGCAGCGCACGCACCTGTAGGCAGGTGCTGCGGGAGGCGGGGGGGACAACAAAAAAAACAGCACCGCGTTCCCGTGGAGTCGAGAGCGATCGTGGAGGGAAGGAGGGGGGAGGAAGGAGGCAGGAGGAGGAGGCAGAAGGCAGGAGAAAAGGAGGAGAGAGCAGGAGGAAGGAGGGGCAGGGAGGATGTAGAAGTGAGGCGCGGAGGAGGGGATGGAAGGCGGGGGGGGGGAGCGGCACTTCGAGGAGGGGCGACGTCTGGGCGTCCACGCGACCCGCAGGCAGCCCATGTGCGCGTACATGCGCAGCGATCAGCCGACGCAGGCGTGCGCACGCCCGGTGGCGTCGGCGCTCCACATCGTCATCCTTCCAATCTTCCTCCTCCTTCTCCTTCGCCTCCTCCTCTTGATTCCTCCTCCCTCTTCTGCTGACTCCCCCTCCTTCCTCCTCCCTCCTCCACCTCCTCACCTCACCTTCCTCCCCCCCCCCCCGCTTCTTCCCGCAGGCGGGAACGTCCCGAGGCCGTGCTTGGGTAGGGGCGGGGGTTATACCTCGGGGCGGGCCTTCTCCAGCCTTCTCTCTTCGCCTCGAGGCTGCGCCCTGCGGTGGCATCCGGGATGTGCTAGGACGGGCGAGGCCCCAATGGCGGTGAGCGAGAGCTCAGAGCTCTCGCGCTGTCCATCCCCCATGGCGGCACTGATGACCGCCTGGCACGGGAGGCGACTGGGGCCCCCATGGACGATCCCCTTGTCTCCCTTGCCCTGGGTCGGAACCCCAGCGGTAGCGCTCCCCAGTTCTGAGGATTCCCGCTCTTCAGGCACTTGGGGTCCGGTACTGCTGGGCCTTCCTGTGGTCGAGGAGGGGCGAGGAGGGTTCTCCGGGGGGCGCCCCCTTGGGAGTGTGTCGGACCGAGTGGCGTCGTGGCGCTGCGGTCACTAGAACCCCGCGACGGGTGGTGAGCTGTCCCCCAGCCGTCCCCGAGTGGGAGGTGCCGCTAGAGAGGCTGTGCCCGCGGCCTCGACAGATGCCGTCCCAGGCCACCACCACCACCCTCGTCTTCCTCCCCTCCCCTCCGACTACCTCTTTCTCTCTCCCTCCGTCTCTCCAGTCTCGGCTCGGGGGTCCCTGACCCAGTGCGCAGTCGCGACGCGACGCCCCCAGCGCAGCTATCAGTTTTCCCCGCGCATTGCGCGTCCCCTTCATATCCCGCGCGCGCCGCAATGGACCCAGAAGGCCCTCGCCGTGTGCGCCCTGTGCCGCCGCAGCCCAAGCCATCAGGCAATAGCCGCCAAGCCTCCTGTCCAGAGAACCGCCTCGTACGCCTGGAGGCCTGCACCAATGTTTTGAAAAGCGGTGGCGGCGGGCTGGTCAGAACTCTCACCCAACGGACTCCGAGACCGCATAGCAGCAACACCGTTCCACCAGCCTTGGCTCAGTGTCGAGCTCATGCAATCGTGCACGGAATTCCTCATCAGTTGCACAGGGCTGCATGCACCACCTTCGACACACCGTGGTTCAGGAGGGGAAAAAAGCACAGACACAATGAATCGTCGATTCCCCAGAAAACATGGGAAAATATGGGAAGTGGGGGGAAGACGAAAACCCAGAACATCTGGGAAAATATGGGGAGTCCTGTTATTTGTGTCTATTTGTTTGTGTGTCCCAGGGCCCCATTCAATGGTCCATGGCCCCGGTCTGTTTCAACGGGGAGGGCACCACGGCGCTTCTTCGTCGGCCTCGGTGCGCCAAACGGGAGCGTCCCAGTCGCCCCCTCCGCTCGCCAGGGCCGACCTACGAGATGTCACGTCAATCGCATCCCCAAGGGCGCCCTCGAGGGCGCGAAGTATTTCGCGCTTCGCGGTTCGGCTCCGATTCCTCCTCATCCTCCTCTTCTCCCCTGGGAGGCGGCGCGAGAGCGCGAAGTGATTCGCCCTTCGCGCTTCGCGCAGCGCGCAGCGCGAAGTTGGGAGCCCTTGCCTCCCCCAGCGCACGCGTGGGGCGGCCACCCATCGCTGGCGCCAGCTCCCGGAGCAGGACAGGGCCGACCTGCGAGATGTCACTCCAAACGGGAGCGTCCCAGTCGCCCCCTCCGCTCGCCAGGGCCGACCTGCGAGATGTCACGCCAGTCGCATGCCCCAGCGCACGCGTGGGGCGGGCACCCA